AAGAGGTGGCCAATTGTCTCTGCTGGTTTGTCTGGGATTCTCAAAAGAAATCTGGTAGCCTGCCCGTAGTCGTTTAAAATTTTCTGATATTTTGGTTTTCCTAAAGGATCTCTGTTAGCCTCTGACTGTCTAAATCCGCTGGGATTCCAAATGAATCCCTGCTCGTTCGAGAATCCTGAAGGATCTCTGCTGCCTAACCTCGCCTAAAACCTAAACGGCCTTTGCCAGCTTCCCTTCGGTCGTTAATATCTTTCAGAGTTGCTTAGAAAGCGTCCTCACTCTCTCTCTCCCCCTCTGCGCGCTCTCTCTTCCTTCCTTGAATTCCTAAATGATCTCCGCTAGTTTACCTCGAATTCATGGCCTCTGATCTCAATGATTTCTGCCTATCCTGCGCTGTGTTCTCACTTAATTTCTGCTACCCTTTCTTTATTTTGTAAAGAATCTCTGCTAGCTTCCCTTCGATTCCTAAAAGATCCCTGCTAGATAGCTTTTTGCCAAAACCTCAAATGCTCCAGTAACCCGCCGTTCGAGAAACCTTTACCTCTTGCAAGAGTAATACCCTAGGGCTACGACTCGACAGGCAACTCGCTAAATGTTTCCATTGTTTTTCGGCCTTTTTGATGCCCCGACCAGAAACGTTTTGCTCGCTATTCAGCACCTGTCACCAGGATTGTACCCTCAGGGTAGGATGGCCGGGGTGGGGCCGAGTTTCGGGTATTTGTTCTTCATTCCCAAATGATCATTGTTAAGCTGTGCATGCCTAAGCCCAAGTCTAAGCCTTGACCTAAGTCTAAGCCTAAGCCTAGGCCTAGGCCGAAGCGAAGCCTAAAGCTAAGCCTATACCTAAGCTCAAGTCCAGGCCTAAGCCCAAGCCTAGACCGAAGCCTAAGCCTAAGCCCCCAAGCCTAAGCCCTTGCCTCCCTCCTCAGGAAACTTTGCTAGCCTTTTTTTAAATTCTCTCCTACCGAAAAGCACCTACCGTAACCACACGCAAATTTCACGACGCTCCGTCATTTCGTCACTCCTGTAATCTCTAATTTTTCGTTTTTCTCCCAGTTCGAGGTAAACAATTTTGCCCGGATTTTCCTCAAAAAGCACGAAACCCCTAGAAGCAGTGGTCCCCCGGAAAAACGTCATTTTTGTGAGTCAGAGCTGGTCAATTTTCCTTCCCGGTAGCTCAGCTTTTCCCTCAAAAAAATTTCTCGTGCGCTATCTCTCTCTTTCTAAATCACTTTCTCTCTCTCTCTCTCTCTCTCTCTCTCTCTCTCTCTCTCGCTCTTTCTCTCTCTCGCTCTCTCAAAAAAGAAGATATTTTACGCGGGTATCCTCGGGGTAACTTTCCCTGCTGTCAATGCTCCATAATATTTGGAAATCCCGAATCCCAATATTTTCCTGAATTAATTTTTCAATGCAATCCTTGAAACTCCCATTTTTCCGCTCTTTCCAAACGCCGATCGTTCCAAAAAGGTCAAACGCCGACGAAAAATGACCGCTGCTGGGGGCCACGCGCCGACGCGCCGGGGCGTGCGCGCCCCGCAGCGGGGCGCCACGAACTCCGGGGAGCCGCAGTAGCAGCAGCCCGTTTTCAGCCCATTTCGGGTGGTGTACCGCATTTTGGGCCACCCGAGCTGGTGCTCAAGGCCGTCTACGGCTTGGCGCACTTTTGGAGAACGTACGACTGGTCAAAGGAAGGCTGCTAGCCTGCCGTTTCCTCAAAAAATCCTTTTCTCCTTTCCAAGTCTTTTTAGCAAAATTTTCGGGGCCAATCCTCCTTCCGGGCCCAAAAATAGTGCTAATCCCCGCGCCAGAGGTCAACCCCATAAAAACCACACGCAAAAAGCGCCATTTTTCGTTTCGGGCGCCCCGGTGGGTACTACGGTAGCTTGCACTTTTGAGGCGCGAAATTGGGGGCTGGGCCCTTGACCAGGGTTCGCTAGTAGGTTAAGCCCAAGCCTAAACCAAAAACCTAAGGCTAAGCCTAAGCCTGAGCCGAAGCCTAAGCCTAAGCCACTATCAGCACTGATTCCACCCCCCATTTTTGGGCTCCCCGCTCACCGCCGACGAGTTGAAGATGGCAAACCAGTTACGGTGGGCAAAGCGAAGAGAGATAGGGAGAGAGAGAGAAGAGAAGGAGAGAAAAAGAAGAGAGAAGCAAAGCTGCCAACGCCTATTACTCGTCCGCTAACCCGCCAGCCAACCCGAAGGCATCGGCCAGCGGCGCTCTTTATTGATCATCACTTTTTCTAGCGTTTTTTTTCTTCAGTTTTTTGTTGGTCTTGATTTTATTTTTCATTTGTCGTATATTTATTGTGTTGATGCTGGAAAGTTTGAAATATTGCGATTTCTTTGCAGGCTCTTGCTCACCTCGGCCTACAGCCCTCTCTCTCCTCTCTCCTCACGGCGAAGTCTGGCTGTCTCTCGCTCTCTCTCCTACCACTCTGTATCTTGTGCTCTATTTCGCCACCTACTCTCTCACCGGCACCCTCTCCATAGCTCTCGCCCGGTCCCTCTATCTCTCTCTCGATCTCTCGCTTTCTCTCTCTCTTCCTCCCTCTCACCCTCTCTCTCCCCTCAATCCCGTATCCCGATCATTTGCCCAGCTAAGCGGTCAAGCCCCTCCATCGAGGGGTTCGAGCTCCCGGGCGGCAGGAACTGGAAAATACACAGCAAAAGCACTCGCTGGCAAGCAGACAGACATGCATCGAGAGACCGACAGACAGACAGATCCCTCCAGGGGACAATGGCGACCTTGAGGCTTCTCGGGTGGTGCTTTCTATCTCTGCTTCTCTCTCCGCCACTCTCCGTCCTCTCTCTCTCTCTCTCTCTCTTTTTCGTCGCGTCGACCGTACTCGGGAGGGCAATGCCCTGCCCGCCCCGGGAATCAGCTCCATTCCGCTGCTATTTGCGCGGTTTAAAGGGGCCGGAAAGTGAGTGTCTAGAGAAGGTTGCGTTAGCTTAAGGGATCTCTGCTAGGTTACCTCTTCCAGGGATTATAAGATGAATGAAGCGTGAAATGAAGTGTGAGCATAAGCTTTAGCCTAAGCCTAAGCTTAACGAAACGCACGCTCTAATCAAAAACATGTTTTCCCGAGGTTTCCACCCCAGTAACAAATCGTACAATCCTGTTGCCCGCACCTCCCCCAGCCATTTGCAGCCTTTTTTGGGGCTCGTGCCCTGCGGTCACAAGCCCAAGCAGGGGACGCTTATCAGGCTCCTCAAGCCGATCTGAAACATATACACCCAGCCGGCCCAAAGCAGCCCTTTTTTCGTTGCCCGTGCTCTTGAAAGTACGAATTTTTCAAGTTCTTGCTTCGTTTTTTAGGTTGCTTGGCTCTCTCTTTCCATTTCTCCCGCTCGCTCTCTCTCCCCCACCCCACATTCTCTCTCTCTCTCTCTCTCTCTCTCTCTCTATCTCTCCCTCTCTCTCTCTCGCTCTCTCGCTACTTCTTTATTTTTTTTCTCAAGCTCAAAGACCCGTCCAAACGCCTTGAACTTCTCGCGCCCGAGCTCCGAGATGAGAGATTCCGGCTAGCCCACCATTTTAAAGAATCTCTGCTAGCCTGCCCACGTGTTCGAGGAGTATTGCATGAATCCCTCCACCTCCCCTTGACTTCCTTCTCCGCTGCTACCACAGGGAGGTCGGGAAAGTGAGCACGAGCTGGCTGCGTTTTCGCAAATTATGCCGGTCACTCTCGCCGCCAGCTGCCAAACCGCCCGCACTAGATCCTAATCTATAGATCATCGGGCTCACACGCATTTCTCTCTCTCTCTCCCGCCTCAAAAAGAGCCAGCTGACTTATTTGTCTCGGGCCTGAAATGGGCGGCTTGCACTTGGTTAGACTGGTCTAGCGCCTGTTTATCACTGGCCCGGCTCGGTATTTTGAATTTTGGCTTTGGCTGGAAGCCAATTTAGAGAAGCGAATGAGTGAGTGAGAGAGCGAGAGAGAGCGAGAGGGAGAGAAAGAGAGACTTACGCTGGTATAATTTTTCCAGCCCCGAAATTGGGTCCCACCCGGCCGGCGTTTCGTTGTATATTTGCGTAGCTGCCCTTGGGGGCCGGGGATCTACCGGATCCGCGTGCCGAAATACTTCCGGATTGCGCGTGGGTGACGCGAGCCCCACGAGCCACTTCATAATATTTATATTTGAGGGTTTTGATTATTCATTACTATGCTTTGTTCTCTCTCTCTCTCTCTCTCTCTCTCTCTCTCTCTCTCTCTCTCTCTCTCTCTCTCTCTCTCTCTCTCTGTAACTCTCTTCTGTGTTCTCACTTTTCTAGGCCGTCCTTATGAGTGTCCAACTTTAACCCGATTTTTTCAGCTCCATCTGCACGAATCTGGAGCCTGGGACGTCATCTGATGGACCCAAAGTACATCAAGCAGGAGGTGAGCGCCTGCTTGCAAAATTTCCCAAAGAATCTCTGCTGGCCTGTTTTGCCTTGGCCTCCACAGCATCGTAAAAGGATTTTTTAGGTCTGGGACGGGCCCCTGGGCGCGACGAACGGACTCGGCCCGCCCGGATGTAATAACAATATTCTGCCTGGAGGTAAGCTACTTGGGCTTAGGTACAGGCTTAGGCTTAGGCCTAGGCTTAGGCTTAGGCTTAGGCTTAGGCTTAGGCTTAGGCTTAGGCTTCGGTTTAGGCTTATGCTTAAGCTTAGGCTTAGGCTTAGGCTTAGGCTTAGGCTTAGGCTTATGCTTCGGTTTAGGCTTAGGCTTAGGCTTATGCTTCGGTTTAGGCTTAGGCTTAGGCTTAGGCTGAGACTTGGGCTTAGGCTTCAACCACCGTAACTGAATTCAATGTAGGTCATCTACCGCCGCTTGGTGGCCATCACCAGCAGCTGCTCGGGCCGCCACCGCCGATGGGCTGGGAGCTTCCGTTTGGTTCTCTGAAGGTGAATATTTCAGCTTTGAAGGTTCCAGTAGCTCAAAATTGCGATTTAAAGGGACTGGGAAGTCAAAAAATGGCGGATTTTTCCGGATTGCTGACCTTTCCGGTCGATGTCTTCTATATTTTTTATTACCGTACGACCGGGTGTGCAGTTCCAGGTGTCGAAGGTCTCGGCCACGCCCTACACCGATGCGACGAACTGCAAGAAGAGCTCCAATCACATCAAGGTACGTCTCAGAAGTTTGTCCCAAAGATCTCTGCTAGCCTACCGTTTCCTAAATAATCTCTGCTAGACTGCCCATTCCTAAGGAATCTCCGTTAGCCTGCTATTTCCTGAAAAATTTCTGCTAGCCTGCCATTTCCCCAAGAATCTCTGCTAGTGTGCCCTTTCATAAAGAATCTCAGCTAGCCTGCCCTTTTCCAAGGAATCCCTCAAAACCCAGCGCCTCATTTTTCGTATAGTGGCTGTTTGTTTTGTCCATTTTTGGCATGCCCCTTATCTGACGGTCCCTTTTTTGGGCATGGCCAGTTTCGGAGGGCCTATCAGCGCGCCGAGTCTGGACTTGCCGGGCCGGCTTTTGAATGGGGAACCCTGGGATTGAGCGAATTCCCAGGTTCCGGGCTCCTAAGGAGGTTGTGACGGGAAATACATTGCCCAGGCTCTTGGCAAACAGCCAACCCACCCCCCTCGATTAGCCGTTGCGGGACCCGTCTAGAAGCAAAGAGCTTGGTAGCACTTTTTTGGATTTATACAGAGGGTACGGTAGCTGGGGTTAAGTTGGCTTAAAAATTGAAAAGCGCAGGCTAGCAGGGAGTCTTTGGCACGAGTTTCCCGGGCCGATTCCTCCTAGCTGGGCCAAAAATAGCCGCCACCCTCGCCTTGTCGGCGACGCCTGCCAAAAATAGGCAACCGGTGCAGATTAGGGCAACAGCCATCCGGCCACACAAAAAATAGGTGGCGGAAAAGAAGGGCAAGCTAGCAGAGATTCCTAAGGAAAGGCAGGCTAGCCGATATTCCTGACGAAAGGAAAAACTGTTCGAGGTTTTCTGGGGGTGCTTTCAAAATGTCGAAAATCATGATGTCGAAATTCGGAATGCCGAAATTTATATCAGCTAATTTTCTTGGAAAAACCCCGAATCCATTGCAAAAAATTTCGACCTTGCGAAATTTCGGCATCATGAATTTCGACATTCTGATTTTTGACATTATGATAGCAATTCGAATTTCTCACCAGGAGGCGAGCAAAGCTTTTTTTAGGAAAAGGCAGCCTAGCAGTGATTCTTTAGGAAAGGGCAGGCTAGCAAAGATCCTTTAAAAAGTCTAACCATGTTTTTCAGCGTCCGATGAACGCCTTCATGGTGTGGAGCCAAATGGAGCGCAGGAAAATCTGCGAGCACCAGCCGGACATGCACAACGCCGAGATCTCCAAGCAGGTGGGCTGGCTAACAAAGATTCTGTGCGGAATCTAAATTTCGCCTTTCTCGTCGTTGTTTTGCCTTGCCGGTCCCTTTAAACCCGCGAATATTAGCTGGGCTCCCGGTGGCGGCAGTTGAGCGAGGAGGAGAAGCAGCCGTTCGTGCAGGAGGCTGAGCGATTGCGGGTGATGCACATGCAGGTGGGCTGGCAGAGATTATTGGGGAATTAAGGGCAGGCTAGCAGGATTGTTTAGGAATTGAGGGCAGGCTAGCGGATAGTTTTGTGGAGTTTCGTGGGAGAGGGTTGTAATGGTTTGGGAATTGCAGAGATTCTTTGGGAAATTGGGACAGGCAAGCTGAGATCATTAGGGAATTTGGGGAGGGTTGTTTAAGATTTTTTTGGAATTTATTTCGGGAAAATTTTTTTGCAAGGAAAATTCTTTTTGGGAAGGGCAGGCTAGCAGAGATCATTTGGGACAAGACAGGCGGTAGAAATGTTTTGGGGATTTGTAAATTCGAGCTGGAACGCTAATTTTGGAGCAAGCTAGCAATAGAAGGAGAACTAGCAGAAACCATTTAGGAAATCTTACAATCGCTTTCAGGAGTACCCCGACTACAAATACAAACCCCGGAAGAAGCCGAAGAAGAACCCAGATGGCACTCTGCAGCAGCCCGGCCAACAGACAACCCCGCCAAGCCCACATCCCAAGGGCCAGAGGGCAGGCCAGAAGCGCCCGATTGGAGGAGCGTCTGGGGGTGCCAGTGAAGCGCCATTCCCCTCCAAAGCTATGAAGGTGCAGGGGGATCGGCAGCAGCCCTTCATGCTTCGACATGAGGACATGAAGAGCCCAATTGTGAAGCAGGTAAGCGGAATTATTTAGGAAAAAAGGTAGGCTAGCAGAGATCCTTTAAGAAATGGCTGACTAGCAGAGATCCTTAGGAAGGGGCAGGCTAGCGGAGATTCTTTAGGAAAGGGCAGGCCAGCAGAAATCTAGGAAGGGCGGGCAGCAGAGACTTAGGAAAGCCCAGGCAGCGAGCGCCGTGAGGTGTCTGAAGCTAAATTCGGACTTGAGCGGTCCCTTAACCTCAACTCTTTCAGGAGCCCCGGTACGCGTGCTCGTTCCCGTCGCCGTCCGAATTCGGCCAGGCGCCGCTGACGCCAGAATCCGGATTCTACGACGACTACTACCCGAACGGCTCGTTCCCCACCCCGCCCAACCATCTGCATCTACACAGCATGGTGGGTTGATGTTAGTGCGGTGGCCAAAACGCTGGGGTATCCTCACTCACGCGGAGGAATTCTCGAAATTCTGACTTCCCAGTCCCTTTAAAACGAGGCTTCCAGGAGCCACGATTTGCACACCAGCCCGGCTTCCCGTTCATGCCCCATTCGGACCCCCGTAAATATTCGGCCACCCCCAGCGCATGGAGATCAGGTATGGGTCTCTCCCTCCACCTCTTTCTCTCTATCCCTCTCTCTCTCTCTCTCTCTCTCTCTCTCTTTCACTCTCTCTCTCCCTCTCTCTCTCTCCCTCTCGACCTGATTTCTTGTTTTCAGGAAGATGTGCGCTCGCTGTCCAGCGGTTCCTCCGGCTATGGTTCTGTGCATGGCGGCTGCCCGTCGACAGGTCGGTATTTTTCGAGGCAAACTAGCAGAGAGTTTTGGGGCCCATGAGAGAGAAATCAGACAGCGAGAGAGAGAGCGAGCAAGAGACAGACAGACGGTGACGATCACATCCAAGTCGCAACACCGCAAAATCGTGAATTCCAGAAGCAGACCCTGCCCACCCGGTCGGCCAATTCCCCCCGGAAGCTGACATGCTCCCCTCCATCACCGACTTCAGCTTCGCGCACGCGCTACGCGCTGGCTCTGGTAAGTACGGCGAGAGAGCGATAGATATGGAAAGAGACAGAGAAAGAGAGAGAGAGAAATAAAGTAAATTCTGGCCCCAAAAACCCGTCTCCTTGCAGGCCAGTCAACGTGGGGCGACATGTGGACGGGGTTCGACATGCCGCAGCCGCACGAGATGCTCCACATGCCGCAGTGAGCCGCAGCCGAGTTTGGCAAAGTGGCGAAGGGCCCAACCACCCAGAAATCGGGTCCCGGTTCGAATCCCGGGCCCGTACATTGTCATATATTCGAGCATTGTTGTTTTAGCCCACCCTAATAATCCCAGCCTCATCCATTCCCGGTCGCACACTAATGTAAGGCTTTTCATCCCTCATCCCTGAAGTCCGGAGCCGAAAACGGGGCCACTGATGGGGCGGGAAGCTATGGAGACGTCAAGCCCAAGCCGAAGCCTAGGCCGCAGTCGAAGCCTAAGCCTAAGCCTAAGCCGCCCCGCCCAGCCAGCCGCCCGCCTGCCCGCCCCCAGGCAGCCCGCCGCGCCTAAGCTTAGCCTAAGCCTAGTCCTTCCGCCCTTCCCAGCCCCTCTAAACGAGTTGGCCGACCGTTTTCGCCTCGACCCCATTGAGCCCGCCAAAAATCCCCCTCCCCCGACCTCCGGGATACTGTAGCGGAAGTCCGTATCGTGTCATTAGTGCATCACCGAAATTTGGCGCATCTTTTAATAACCTCTCATAAAATCACAACCCGCTCCGCTGCAGTACCCGCCTCAAAAAACCCAATTTTTCATTTTTCGAGATTTCCCCCCACAGTATTCCCCCATATTCTTCCGCGTATTTCTGTAGTTTGTATTACCCCATAGCCGTATTTTGCAGCCCCGCCCACCCCGTGCATAATCTCAGAAACAGCCGTAACCTACCGTAATCTACCGTAACCTACCGAAACCGTTGGACTTTCAAAAATGATGACCGTAATCTCGTACACCCACGCGCTGTGGATTCTTTCATGTGTGTTTTTGCATCGATCATCCCGTTCTTAGCCCGATTTCCGAGATTCCCAACGCCCCCCGACGATTCGCGCCGCACATTTTTCGGTTTTGGAGGATGTAGTCTGTAGCTTGTAGACCAAATTTTGTAGCTAAGCCTAAGCCAAGCCAAGCCTCACCTAAGCCTCAGACTAAGCCTAAGCCTAAGCGTAGGCCCTAGCCGTAGCCTAAACCAACCCAAAGCCTAAGCCAACCAGAGAATTTTAGAGAACCACACTAGAAATTCAAAATTTTCCAGGCTACAAACTACACCTCCTTACCCGGCCGCTATTTTTCTGTCCATTCCGATTCTAGTGCTCCCCGCGGGCTCGCATGGGAGCTGGGAACTGTCGCGACGCAACCGCCGAGCCTCCCGGCTCCCAGCTCGTGCTCCCTACAATTTACAAATCGCCCCTAGCCACAGCTTTATCCCGCGCCCACCCTACCGTACCCTCACCCACCACGTGATTAGTCAATTCTACAAAAATATTTATCGATCAATTGCCTGCCCGTTATGTCTATTTGTCCCTATTGTTCCTCTGGTTTTCGGCCCAAACCCCGCCCAAATTATCCTCGTTTTTGCGTGTTTTTTCATTTTTGCGAATGACAGAGAGTGAGAGAAAAGAAAGAAAGTGTGCGTTTTACGAATAAAGTTGAAAATCAGACTAGAAACAATAAACTACAAAAATTTTACAAAAAAAAACACGATTTTTCACCCAAAAACCTGGCAGTTTTCGAAAATAATTTGCATGCCTTCCTCGATGAAACCTAGCGCTTTTCTTCGATAAATTATAGCATTTTTTCAAAGCCCGTTTCCGTGCGGCCGTCTCTTTTTTCTACCTTCTAGCAACGCACAGTCAAGCTTATCGGTCGGGTTTTTCACCTATACGTAGCTTTTTACTCTTTTGACTCTCCTGGATACCTGGAATTTGCGGCTTCATCGATTTCCAGGGGTAAATTGTGATTTACCTTTAATTCGAATCAACACTATTCTCTAAAGATGTCTCCGAGGCCCCCGCAGGCGATGGTGTTCCCCAAGGGTGACCGCTCGGCCCCCCGTACCCTCCTCATCCGAAACCCCACCGAGAAAGAGATTGTGCTCAAAGTGGGCGATAAATTTAATTACACCATTCTGGCCTTGGAAAAGATAAAAATAACGCCTTGCCCGTCTCGACGATTGCGCCTTCAGCTCGTCCCCTCCTGCTCGCGCGCCATCTCGATCCCGTGCCCGTGCTTGATGTTGAAGCCGCGAAAGTACGCCGAGGTGAAGGTGACGTTCAACCCGGAGCTGTCCGAGCGCGACTGGGTTCGTTTGGCTTTTTGGCGGCTGCCGAGGCTTAGCTTAGAGCTGAAGAAAATAACTAAAATGCTTGAAAAATTAAGGCAAAGATCGCCCCGATAGGTAAAATGCGCGCTGAGATGGCGATCAAGATGCACAATTTCGACAAATTTTTCGCTTTTTTGATACATAAAAAACTATTTAATAAAGCCCTGTAATTTTCAAACATCCGAAAGTCGCGAATTTTACCTTGCAGCGCACGCATCACCTGTCGGTGTACGCCCGCGCCGTCCACCCCTACAACGTGGGCAAGCTGCGCATGTGGCTGAAGGGGTCGGCTGTCAGCCGGCGACAGCTCGTCACCCAGCTCGCGCTCAGCCTCGAGGCGATCCGTTTTTCCGCCCAGGAGGTAGGACAGAGAACCCAAAACTTACCTGTAGAATAAACCTTATTCTAAAGTTCTTCAAAAACCCCGGAAAACTACGCAGGTGATCGTCGACCTGCCCGGCGGCGCCCAAATGTGGGAGTCGGTCACGCGCGCCACCCCGGCCATCGACGACTCGGACACGTTCACCTGTTTGCCGATCGACGGCGGTACGCCACCATTACGCCGCTCTCTACGCTCTTCCAGACACGCAAACCGCCGTCGTGCCGGCCCCCGAAGAGCTCGAGCAGGCCAAGCGGACCGTCCTCGAACCCGAGCCGTGGTAGGGCCCATGTTTGCTGCGGCTTGCTACAACATCACTTGGCAGCTGCTGGCTGCTTGGTCCGCTGCTCGACATGCTGTTCCCGCCGCTCGAGCCGGGCCGGGGCGCCTCGCAGATGGACTTCCAGCCGTGCGCCGGCTACGCCAGTCGACAGCCCGAAGAGGAACCGCGCGACCAGCAAGCCTGACCACCCGAAAATCACGCTCCAAGCCACCAAAATTTAATCGAATAAATTCCATACCGCTTTGCTCGAGGGGCACATCGGCGGCCTTCTTTTCGAACTTTCAAAATGTCGATGTCGAAATGCCGAAATTTCGAGATTTTGAAAAAAGGATTTGTCGACGTTATGCATTTCAAAATCATGAATGGCAAATTCTGATAGCAAATCGGCAAGACTTCACGCTATAGAATATAATGGTTTATTCGGGTAGATAAAAGAAACACACGTCTAGCAAAAGCAAATGCACTTTGTCATATACTATAATCACAAGGGCGCGCACCGAGGAAACGACAATCAAAGGAAGACCCGGGCTTAAATTTGACATTTGACGCAAGGGAAACAAACGGGGGGACAACACGATGCTAAATTAAAACCTTGAACAGTAAAGTAAAAAATTTGGTTGGTGGCAGTGACGAGGCGCCGGCTGGCGCTTAGACCCGTTTGTAGATGTAGAGATAGGCGAGCTGCTTGGGCGGCTGCTGCGAGTAGGCCACCTGGAAAGAATGGCATTGGCGAGTGCTCGGAATACGCAAATTTTAGTATGGGTTTTTAGCGGGGGGTAGGAGGACACTACTTTTCTCAGTAATAGGGGCTATTTATCGAATTTTGTTCTAGTTTTAGTTATCAAAAACTCATAAAAATTCGAAAATTTTATCGAATTTTCAAAGATAAGCGGAAAGCGCCGCATATGCAAAAAAAATATAGTTTTCCCCCGCTCCTGCAAACAGTCCTGTAAACAAATTCCCACGAATTCAAAGGTAAAACCCTCACCTTCTCATCGTTGAATAACACCCATTGATCGCCGCGCAGCAGGTGGGCAACGTAGTGGCCGGAATGCGGTGAAGAGCCCATGTGCGAGATGAAGCCGACGAGCTGGTATGTGCTGTTCCCATCCCTAAGAACAAGTTTACAATAAAGAGGCGCTGAACTACCTCATCTCGACGGCCCGTGGCGCCACAGCAGCGGGGGCCGCTTCGGCAGGCTCGCCAGCGGCCTGCGGGACCTCATCACGGTGCTCGAAGAGCCACTCGGCGGCCCGGTTCGCGTCGAAGTTGAACTTTTGTAGACCATATCGGGCCTCGTGCCTCGTGAAGCCGAATCCCTCAAGGGTGGCCACACTTTCGTTGTCGATATGGGCAGAAGTGCCTAAATTATAGCTTAGGGAAACCATCACAAGCACGAACCCGCACCGCTTCCGGCGACTTGGGCTGCTGGCGGGTCGTTGATGGTCGGGTCATCGAGGCGAGACTGAAATGAGTGAATAGGTGGAGCCAGAAATGGTAGCAAAAATGAAGACGGGCATATTTCTGCGAAACCTTTTACGGAAAAAAGCGCAAACCACTTTTTGGAAACTATTTGTTTGAGGAAAGATTTTCAGAAATATGTATATTTTCCAAAAAAGCAAGCATGGGTATTTCCTAAGCTTTGCGGCCGCTTTCTTCTAACAGCTAGACGCCAATTGTCCGAAATCCTCTAATTTAAAAAGATCATTTCCACAAATGAAAATGAAAAACAAAACCAACCATCAGCCATTCGGCAGCCGCCTCGGCCCCGTTGTTCTTCGTCTCGATGACGGCCTTCATCGAGGCGTTCCGCGAAAAGCCCATCGCCTCCAGCTGCGCGACCGCGTTCTCGTCGACCGCAGGCTGTGGGGCGAGCGCCACGACCTCCTCGTTCTCGGGCATCGCCACCTCGCCGTCTTGCAGCCCATGTCCGCGGAAGGCGGCCAGGTCAAGATGTTCGGGCACCTGGGAGAGACGGATTATTTTGAAGGCCAAATCCACAACCTGAATATCCACGTCCAATTTCTTCTGCTGGAAGTTTGTCTCGTCGATGGTGAAACGCTGCAGCTGGACGAGCAGAAAATCGGGGAACGTCTTGAAGCGCATCGTTTTCTGATAACGTTCGCCGAGCGTTTCCGGCTCAAAGACGGACGCCAGGCAGCTGCCAAACTCGGCCGTGAAGCGATTTTCTTGATCGGGAAGTGGATGCATCGCCAGCTGAAATGGTAAAATTACGGAAATCACTAACGAGAGAATTATTTTTCAAAACCACGAGAAAGTAGAGAAAAAATAAAAGCACACCTTTGGCACGGGCAGTGAAAGAATCGTCTCCTCTTGGTTCGTATAGCGCACGCTGCCCGTATTCACGTCCTGCAGCCGCTCCTCCTTGTTGAACTTGAAGGCCAGCGTCGGGTCCGGGGTGCCGGCCGGCGTGTTAGACGAGATCTTCTCGATGATGTAGCGCACGTATTCCTCGGCGTCCTGTTGTTTGGCCGTCTGGAACTCCGGGTGATTGGCGCCGGCGACTCGCTTGAACTGGGTGGGCTTGATGCCGTTGTGCGGGCCGTCGGGGAGCGCGTAGTCGCCGGACATCATCGAGGAAACGAGGCGAGCCAGCTGGGCGTTGAAATCCTTGAAGACGTCGTTCGGCGGCAGCGAGTGGAGCGTCTCGAGGGCCCTGGCGCCTCCAAATCGTTCGCAAAAGTCGGGCACGAGAAGGAGACCCTGGATGACCTGAAAAAAGGAAAGATTTCATCGTATAAACTACCCAAAACCCGTGAACGTTCATTTCGCCGAATGCTGCTTGAAGGATAAGTATGGTAGCTGCTAGCTAGAGTTGGAGTAAAAACCAAATCCATTCCCAGAATTAGATTCTTTCTTATTGCAGTCATCAAATTTCCGCACGTTGTCCCGATCCAACGATCGAAAAATCTGGTTTTGAGATACTCCGGGGAAAAGTGTATGGTGAAATTAGTGAAAACTTGACGTACGGAAAGTTATAGTTCAGAAAAGCATTCGGCGAAATGAATGCAAATCCTCAAAACCCACCGAATTCATGTAGCAGCTGGACCCGATGTTGATCAATCCCGTCATCCCGGGGCCGTAAGCGTTCACCAAATTGGCACCGTCTTCCTGGATCCGCGACCATTCCCACCTGGAAAATTTGAATATAGTTTTGGTGCGCTGATTGTGCATTGTAGAAAATGTTATTAACCGATTTCGATCTACAGCTACACTTTTCTGCCGACACTGATTGCCCCGTTCCCAGCGGGGTCAGTGTTACCTCAAACAAGGCGAGAACACTATGTCAAGCGCATATCGGCATACAATTAATGCCATCCAGAGCAGTCGTCCTCTCCCCTCTAAAGACATTCCAATGCGGTGAATGCCCCAACCCGAAAAACACGCTTCCCATACCCGACTCACTGCCGTCCCTCATAAGCGCCCCGGTTTGCTCATAAGGGGCCCGTTTTTGCGTGCGCGCGCTCGTAAGGCATTACGTGAGGGAGACAAGTCGAGCCTCAACCCCCTCCGCCTGAAGCCACCCCGTATATATCGCTCGACAGTCTTAGGACGCTCGCCCATACGCTGCGCGGCTAGCCCAACATCCGAATTCATTCCAGTGTTCACGGCCTAGTTAAAGCAGTCGCCCCCATGTTTCGCGACTCAAAAGACGTCCCCAGCTACCCGAAAATCAGTTTGCATGAAGCCGAAAGCCTGCGAAGGATCGCGTTCTGCGGCGTGGCGATCAGGTTAGTCAAACGGTCGCCCAGATGGTGTACTGCTTTTCACGGTAAACGATATCTTCGTTTGAATAGAAATTCCTTTAGCCCCAATACACAAAAAATGAATAGCGTGCTCTCCACCCCCTTATAACAGCTTGTCCGACTTCCGGTGTATACTAATTTTTCGTAAAAGGGAGAGAGATGACGGAGATTTTCACCAAAAATTTCGCAGTTGGCTGATTTGAAAATTTTGTTGATGTGTTTAGTCAAATTGAGACCATCACGCATCTTATGACGCATCAAAAATTCACCTAAAGGACGATTTTAGCACGGTCGCGACCCTGACTTGCATAATCGCCATCCCCGCCCTCTACAACTATATGCAGCATGTGCAGTCGACGCTCCAGAATGAGGTGTCACCAAGCGAAATGGTCAACACTTGTTTTTTTTCAGGTTGAATTCTGCAAGCACCGCACAGGCGGGCTGTTTACGCAGTTTGAGCGATTGCAGACGATAAAAGGCGTTCAGGGAGGACGGGTATGTCAATTACAAGGCGACAACAGCTACGCAAAATGCGACTCCCCAGGACTAAACCAATCCCCTTTTCAGGTGATCGTAAAACGCCAGTCTTACGATGGAGAGGCCAGCAGCTCTGGGCCCGCGCCTACAACTTCGGCGCCAAAAAAAGCAAAAACTTCAAGCAGCCCGGTCACTTCTACCCCCACTACCACTGAAGGCTATGACGAAGAGTTGACAACGACACGTTACTCAACGAACGAGAACGCCGGGGTACGGGAGCCCCTGTACGTTGCCAACAACGAGTGCTGCTCCTGCAAAACGGGTCCCGTAGGCCCGCCTGGACCCCCCGGAGATGATGGCCGGAATGGGATGGACGGGCTACCAGGTTTTTCGTAGACGTTCAGCCTAATGGAGCATATTATTTCTAGGGGAAGACGGTAGACCCGGTGACGATACCGATGGGGACAACGGGCTGTCAGACACCGATTTTTGCTTCGATTGCCCGCCCGGCCCGCCTGGTCCCCCCGGAAATGTGGGTATCAAGGGGCCACCCGGAAAACCGGGGCAAGCTGGAGCGCCTGGGGTTGATGGGAAAGCGGGGCTGGATGGTATCCCCGGCCCTCAGGGGCCACCCGGACAAGAGGGAGAAGCCGGAATCCCAGGTGCGTAGCTTGATAAGGAAATTTTCAAAAGATCCTGCTGGTCAAAAAAACATCAAAAAATGCTCCTCTAGGCGAACCGGGCCCCGACGGAGCAGTCAGCGAAGTGCCAGCCCCACCAGGCCCTCCTGGAGTACCCGGGCCCCCAGGACCGGCAGGGCCCGACGGAAAGCCAGGTCAGCCCGGAAAACCCGGCTCCGACGGCACGCCCGGCGAAATTGGCGACAATGGCAAGGACGGGAACCCGGGTCGACCCGGCGACAACGGACTGCCCGGCGAATTCGGGAGCACCGGCTCTGGCGGCAGCTGCGAACATTGTCCGCCACCCAGAACAGCCCCCGGCTACTAGAATTGTTTTTCCCGCCCCCGTCGATAAATTTATTTTTATTAACTGCACGCTTGCATAAGAGTCGGTCAGCGATGGGGCCGCCGTGTTCGGCATCGGCCCATCTTGGTGGAACCGGTTTTCGTGAGAAAAGGCGGGGGCCTGTGCGGGATAGGATGGCAAAAAAAACGTTGTACATTCTCGCGTCTAGCCTATTAAAAGTGCCTGAAACGGGCCGAAATTACAGCACTACGAAAATGTTACCCATTCCTTAGCTAGGCTTGATTTCAATAAAGAAAAGCGCAGGCTGATTCTTAGCTCGGCTTTTAAAGAGATACGGACAACACAGGCCTAGGCGAGAGGTGCAGAGATAGGCCCCTTCCCTCGCGCAACTGATTGACTGACGCCTTTTTGTCCCCTGACATACGCTTAGGCTATAAAACGTAGTCTGGGGCTCTTTGCAGTCAAAAATCACGTCACCATGTGCCCTGGCAACAAGATTAGACTACAGTAGTTGTTTGCCTTTACTTGGCGACCCTCAAAACATCCACCTCGATTTGCCGGGTAATAAAAAACTGCTCCCCCTCAAGGAAGTATATCCCTGTGCATCTCCCCCCGGTATCCCCTCAACAGCAGCCCCAGCGACCTATTTTGGAATGCCGGGACGCGGGAGCGGGGGCGTCATGAAAAACGGCGGTCTTTGCCGCTCTAAAAAGCGAGCGCTGCCCCTGCCACCGGGAGGAGATAGCCCCGGGACCGCGCGGGGGTTATCCAAGAAACGGCGGGCGGGGGGAGCTAATGGCGGCTGCCGAGATGTATCCCTTGCACCCCAGCAAGGTCATGGCACGGGCAAGGAAAGTGAGTAGCCCAATGTCGGGGACGGATAAGTCTAATCGGGCTTTCATCGGCTATGGATGACAGATATCGTACCCCGGTGTGCACAAAGGGTTGAGCGGGTCGGGGCCGCTGCAGAACAGCTACAAAATGAAGTTGGGTCCGAGGGCGCGCATCTCGACTCATTAAAAATCACGTTCTCAAAAGTCACCTATTCGCAAATTTATCGGTTTAACCACCCGGGGCTTTCATTCAACCAGCCGTTTCAATAGACGAAATCAAAATCTGGAATATGTTGAGCAGTAAAACCGATAAAACGCACCCGCTTATTTTATTACTACACTAGCTATCGATCGCGATTTTAGCGGCACTACAAAGCAAAAAAATCCCAGCGTCCGAAACCCCCTAACTATTAGACTAGAGGGCCGACACTTTAATGCGCATCTAATCTACTTTAACAAACAATGCGCAGGGGTACTGTCAACCTTCACGAAATCACCGACGCCACTCGGCTAGCAAGATCCTAGTCAAGGCATCCTTTTATCGCTGCTCAACCTCGTAAATTTTTTACTGGACTACGCCGCGCAGCTACTGCCAGTCCCCGGGTCGCCCCAGTCACAGGGTTCCCGCACGGGGCACAGCGACGAAAAAAATGTACGCCGAGAAGGGGGATTCCGTGTCCAAGAAAACCCCAGGATGTTCCGGGTACAAAAAAGTACCGCTGATAGTGTGCTGGATCCACCGCTAGAGGGGGAAAGCACTGGTAAACGACACGAAGGAAACCACCTCGAACAGGGTTGAGGAACATTCGAAAGCCATTTTTTTCAAGCACAAACTCACTTCTGATTCATGTCCAGCTCCAGCTCCAGCGTGCTCTTCTCCGTCTTCTCCAAGCAGTCAATGTCCAGTCCAAAGTGGGCGAGATGCTTGCGCAAGTTCGGGTCGACGACCGCATCATCTTCAGCATACGAGAACACGTCAGCATTTCCATTTTGTTCTATCGTCCCGAGTTTTACCTAGATTTAGCTGCCTACAGAAACGACACGGCGCACCAACCACAAGGGAATAGCCGGTCGCGTCGTAGTACTGTTTCATGTGGTTGTTGCCCTTGCTCTTCTCGCCTTCGCTGATGAACTGGGCACGCCCGCAACTGGAAAAAAAAACTAATTTCTAGCCTCAGCAAACTTTAATTTGGATTTTTATTTGCTAGGAATAGGCAGCGAAAGTTACAAATTCTCCGTAAACTCCAACAAAACGTACCGAATGGCACCATCCGTCAAATTCAGCCACAGGTTCTCCATCAGCCCGCAGCCCGGCTCCTCGCACATCCAATTGCTGTAGGGAATCTACAAAAACAAAATACCATTAACAAAAATGCTGCAAACGCTTACCGCCTTCCCATTGTTCAGCTGCTGCAGCTCGTAGCTGGTGGCCTTTTTCAGCTGAAAACACAAAAAAAAATGAAAAAAGGGAACGCCTGGACAAACCTCGCCATCCCAAGCGTTCGAAGCATTCTGGAGCACTTCGAGTCGCTCAGCGGATGTCGTAATGACGACCTAAGCAAGGAGTCAGCTAAAAAGGGAAATGCTACCTTGTTGCATGCGGCGTACAGATTCGCGCCAAGCTTCTCATCGATGGGAAAGCGCTGGGCTGTTTCCGGGTAGATGACAAAGTAGTAGGTGTCGTTGATGTCGAACCTGAAAGCAAAAATAATGAAATCATCATCATCAAAATTGCGTCCAAATCGAGGGGTGGATGCTAGGGCCACAACGCTTTACGCATGTGCTCGCTCGGACAAACAATTTACAGTAGCCCTTCATCCCCATACCCCTAGAAACCATACACAAGGTCATATCTGAGCCGATAAGCGCGCCATTTTCACCTTCCAAGAAAGGGGCCAAAAAGCCTGCGGCCTTTTTTCTGCCACCTTCGCCGGCACTGGGCTAAGATGCCTGGGACCAAAAATGAAACCAGTTATGGCGCTCACATATCGCCGGTTAAGCCCGGGCGTCTGGGTGAAACCCTTGGCGGAAGCGGGAAGATTTGTTGACTGGCACGCGGTGTTGCGAGCACCGTTTTTTGCCACTGGATGAGAGACAAGTCTAGGGGTCCACTCGTAGCGTCAGCACAATGGCTATATGAGCATCGAGAGTTTTCTGCAAGTCTATGTCAAAGCTAAAGCAATTGAAAATCCTACTAAAAAAAAAAGATGTTTGTGTTTGGGGTGTGTGGTGTGTGCCACTTTGCACCCACTTCCGCCTTCTTCCGGAGGATACTCAAGAAGGGACAGTTATTAGGCTATATGATACGTCAGGTGCTTAATGTCTAGGGATGACTGAACACACATATCAGATTTAATAATTAGCCATTTTCGTTATTAAATTTAGGTTTTTGTAACCTGTTTTTAGGAAATTACATCCGAAAAAGGCCCATATAAAGAGGCAGAAAGGGTTTTTTTTTTTTTTGTCTTCTGAATAGAGGACAATTATGGGTATGGAAATTATGGAATAGTATGGATCCGAGAGGGGGCAAGCGGAAGCGGGGCTTTCACCCTGGTCTATACTAGAAGCCTAAAACCGAAAAAAGCCGAGCGTATTGTTTTTTCAGCAACCGAAAATGGGTCGTAGACAGCGCGTGGGTGTAAAAAACACGGCTTCCTCCTCGTACATTCCACCCGGCTCTCAAACGGGCGGCTGTTTTTTCTCATGGCCACCGTATTATCAATGGCCCGCCGAACTCGGGAGGGGTGCGCAGACCGGCGGCAAAAGATTGCCACCTTGAGCATCCAGTTTTTCAGCGTCTTTTTCACGAGGTTGGGGTGGCCGGGGCTAGATAGTGGCTATCAACTAGGTTAGTTGGTGCGAGGGATAGGCCCAAATAAGGCCGGGGCGCGGAGGGGAGAGAGTGCACGCTGAGCCCCCTTTTCCGTTCACTTTTTTCGGATATGGCGCGCCCAGCAGCATCCCGACTGGTATAAAAGGATCAGTTCCCCAGTGGCAGACCATCAGTTTCAAAACGGAGCAGTCCCTCCACACCCCATCCAAAATAGCCGTCTCCGCCAAACTTTTCCTTTTTCGCAAAGTAGAGATATCCCAAAGAACGCCTGGAACTTTCGCTTCCAGAAATTTTTCAATCGCTTTATTTATCCAAAAATGGAGTTTCAACGCTTCTTCTTCACGACTTCTCAGCGTTCTTTTCATTTTCCCTTGCTCCTAAAGCTACTTATTTTCCCCATTCATCTGATTTCAGCCGGGTATGGAGGACAAACAGAAGCTCGTCGAGGCCGAGTCGGTCAAGAAGTTCGCCTTCTTCGGAGTGGCCGTCAGGTAACCAGACTCCTGAAGAGCCTCAGCTTCCTTTTAGCACCATCGCCACCTTGACCGCCATCGTCGCCGTGCCGATGCTTTGCATGTACATGCAAAACGTCCAGTCCGGCCTTCAGGATGAGCTGAACTTCTGCCGCACCCGCGCTGAGGGACTCCGCGGAGAGTACTCCAAGGTACTGCTTTTAAATAATCCCTAAAAATCACTAAAGAACGCTTAGAAACCCCCTAATTTCAGCTCGAGTCGTACCGCAGCGGCGAGAAGGAGCGCGAGAAGCGTCAGGCCTCGTACCAGTGCTGCTCTTGCGGAGTTGGCCAGGCCGGTCCCCCCGGAGCCCCTGGACAGGACGGAGCCCCCGGAAACGACGGTCGCCCCGGATCTCCCGGATCCAACGGCCCCGACGCCCAGGACGACTCTGCTAAGCCCACCCGTGACGACTTCTGCTTCATCTGCCCCAAGGGACCCGCTGGACCCGCTGGATCCCCAGGTAATTCATAAAACCCAATCGAACAACTTGCGCTAAATTTTAATCTCTCAAATCTACACGATCTATTTAGGACCCAAGGGACCCAACGGACAGCCCGGAGAGCCCGGAGACAACGGACCCGCTGGACGCCCCGGAACTGCTGGACCCCCCGGACCTCCCGGAGCCCCTGGAGCCCCAGGAAACCCCGGAAACCAGGGACCTCCCGGTGCCCCCGGCCAGACCCGCACCGTCCCCTCGCCTCCTGGACCCCCGGAGCCCCTGGACAGCCCGGACCCCAAGGACCCCCCGGCCCCGATGGCAAGCCCGGAAACCCCGGACGCGACGGACAGCCCGGACCTATGGGAGATGCTGGCAGCGATGGACAGCCCGGAAACCCCGGAGCCCCCGGCGAGAACGGACAGGCTGGAGCCGATGGACCCAAGGGATCTTGCGACCACTGCCCGCCACCCAGGACCGCCCCCGGATATTAGACAAATATCCGCACTTTCCAATAATCTCAGGCATAATAAACATTATGGTCCTAAACTGATACCTATGAAATTGCAAGAAATGCCTAGCAACTACACACTACTCCAGAAGCAAAAGCAGAAAGCGCGGGGTGCAACGTACTCAAGGTAGAGAAAAAATCTAAGCGTTCGAGCCTGACCCAAACACAGCAGCTTCTAGGAATAAGAGAAACGTGGGGAAGGCACTACGCACATTAGAGGAAGGGCCTAGAGCCGAAAAACTGGTGAAATTCAAAGACAAACTCACTTCTCCCCAAATCCACCCTCAACGCCGACGGCCAGACGACTGATCTTCTGTTCGGGCTCGTTATGCTGCTCGAGGGGGACCTGTAATAAAAAAAATTTTACGCTTTGAGGCAACCGAACCTTTTTGCTGAGAACTTGCACGAAGGCCGTGCTACGTGTACGCGCAGCATAGTCGGCGATGTGGCACGGGCAGAACGCGCAGTAGGTCTTGAGACAGACGTAGAGCCCTCCTAAACAACGTTGTCGACAGGTCAACAATCCAAACCTTCAAAATATGGGGTGTTGAAGCAGTACATGCACTCGTCCTTGAAGATCTTGGTGTCCTTGGTGGGCTGGTTGTAGGCATCGGTTGTGAGGCCCTAAAAACTCGTAATTTTCAAATGCTAATCCAAACCTGGAGCGCGTCGAAGTTTAGAGGCGCTTCCACTTCAACGTCAGCCATTTCGAACCTGAAAATGCATGTGGTAAACGGATTTCCCTTGGAGCGAGAGTAGCAGAAGAAGGCGCAAATCGTGCAAAATAAGATTTTCGTTATCGTTTGGTGGTCCCGGTGCGAAACAAATTGGCTCTGATAGTTTTTGTAGCTAGCTCGTAGCCAAAATGGAACAATTTACGGAAAATCGAATCGACCTTTTAAAAAAGCTGAAAAGGACAGTTTTGGGGAGATGAAACCCCGCAACGAGATGCTCTTTAGCTTCAATGGCTTCCACTTTTCATCCTATAAAGCGATTTCAATTTACTTTTATTGAAAACCACTAACTTTTACGATGAAATCGAACAGGGGATACAACTGCAAAAGTTCTGACTATTTTTTCCGGTGCATCCATACTTTATCAAGGCCAATAGTAATGGCTCGTACATACCATGCAAAAGTGCGCCAAAGCTTTAATTTTCGAATTATTTTACTTTTTTTAGACTTTTAACTTTTTTCGACGAATTATTTGTTATTGGCACTTGTAAAGTTCGAGAGTTCGAGAGTTCAAAAATGTTCATTTACTGAAATTCCGAAATGTTACGCTCAGACGCCTTTCGGGGTCGGTTACCATTTGTTCAAAAAGATGCATAAATTTGGTAAATAAAATTTACCAAAATCGTCATCATCGTCTTCTAGTTAATAAGAATGCATTATGTGGTAGTCCAAAAATGCTGCATTTAAAAAAAATGGGGTGGAGAAGCCGGACTCTTAACTAGAGTTTGTAACTCCTTTACAGCTTCTTTTCCAATTTTGTTCCATTTCATAACCATTTTTCACAATTTCATAACTCTTCGATTGCAGGCAGCCCTCACATTACAAGTGCGCTTCCGACTTGGCTGGAATGAACCAGGGCGAGGAGGAGAAAGCCGCGGATGTGTCTTCTGCCGTTGGGTTTCGATTGCCCTCCGATAATCGTTTTTAGGTCTCCGAAACGCTCTCCCAGCAGCTCTTTTTGTCTGACTCTTCGGAAATCGACGAGGATGTTTTGCTTGAAGGTAGATCTCCTTTAATATTAATTCAACTTTACCCTAGAAGTCTTCGGAGCGGCCAGCGGCTCGGCTTCCCTCGGCCCATCACGCCGCGATCAGGGGACCTCGCCGATCAAAGATCTCGAAAAGGTAAATTCTTTTCGAGTCTAAAGAACCCCAGATCAGACCACGATTAATTGCTCCGACGCGGGATGTGCCAACCAGCGCTCGGTGATGCTCGAGCAGATTCGACAGCTTCTACGCGTGGCCCGGCATGAGACAAACAAATGGAAGGACGAGAATGAAACCTTGCGAAACCGGTATTCAGTGTAAAAATGACGGAGGGCCATTTTTTATAGCCTCAATACGCAGCCGCTTTCAAAATGCCCCAACTGCGCGCTTGCTTTTCGTTCCTCGACTGAAGATCGGATCGTTCCATCGTAAGTTTACAGTCCTATTGCAGAAGGGCGCTTATGCAATCGTGAAAGGAGGAGGGTTTTTATTATAGTCTAGAAAGGCAAGAAAGATGGGAGCTATTGATGTTTGGGGCACCTTTTTAGGGGCTTATCCGGCCTAAGCAACCAAGCCCCCCCGCCTAGCCGAGAAAGCACAGCCAAGCTAAGCAAGCCAGCCGCCAAGCAACGTCTCAGCCGTACGCAAATAGCAGCAAAAGATGCCCCAAACATCAATAGCCAAAGATGGTTTAGGCAGGCAATTAAAATGGAACCTGATCTGAAACTGCAAATTTGTTTGAGTTTTTGCGTTTAGAAATAGTGTTTAGAATTAGGAACTTTCTTCTACTTATATTAGAAAAAATGGGAGCCCGAGAATCACCGAATAGCATAAATTTCTCCTTTCAGTTACATGAAGTGCCACAAAAGCAGTATGACCGTTGAATTGACGTTCGATTCGCTGACGCAGCTGCACGAGTGGGTCTACTTGCATGGGCTCGATGAGGACCGTCATGGCATCCCGACGCTGCTCCGCCCCGAACAATCCATGACAATGCTCAGTTTGAGAGATGTGAGCAACGTCTTTGAAATTTAATATTTTTGCTCAGGTGAAAAGTCTGGTGCCCGAATTGGCGGTGGAGTTAACGAAGGAGATGTTTCGGCGCCAGAAGAAGCCCATACCGCCGAAGCTCATGTCACTGATGGACCTTCATCTCGAATCGGGACCCGTCGTCTACATTGACGAAGCGGCAAAAGAACAGCGGCCCGCGTGCACAAAATTGACAGGGACAGGCAGACCAGCGAAATGGTGAGAATGTTTTTTGGTTCTGGGAAACCAAATTTCTGTTAAATTAGAGTGTGACGAGCATTTTCGCAATATTTCATGGATCACGATCAATAAACTTAGAGTTAGGTTCAAAAATTTCGATCAAAAGGAAATAACGAATTTATATTTTGTGATAAACTTTCGAAGTTTTCATGTTTTTTTTGGATAGTGGAAAAGCAAAGAATTATTTGTTTTCTAAAAAAAACTGGGCAATCATAGAAAAATAATCAATCCTTTTTAATAAATGTTCTCCTTTTCAGGGAGCGCCCAGAAGAAACGACGGCAAGGCCCTCGACGTCCGATATTCGGCCCGACGGGACCAAGCAGCACAACGACCCCGGGCCCAGAAGGTTGCTTTTTCATAAACTTCTCGTAAGCCAATTTTTAAGAACGTCCCCGCGCAAGAAGCCTCCACCACCACCTGAGAAGTCGACGAGCCGGCCAGCCGAACCCGGGTCGCGCCAGAAAATCGACAAGTCGGAGCCCACGAAAAGGTGCTAATGATTTGCTCCCTTAACCAACGCCCTTTTTAAGTCATTTGCCATGTGCACAACGGCTCAAACCTGACATCACGGCCACGGATCAGGGGCAACAGCGTAGAAGTAAAACAGCGACTTCTGAAAGCCCCACTTCAAGTGCACCGCTCCGGTAAGGCTAAACGGCCGTTTTTTTGCTATTATGTTGCAATGCTGTGGAATTACATGGGGGAAGGGGACCCTTCGGCATTGAAATATTAAATTACCGAAGTACGAGATCTTTTAGGACTTCACCGCGAAAGAAGCCGCCCACAAAAGAAATCGCTGCTGTTTCGTCTAGCCGTCTCGTCGCTTCGAAGGCATCACCGATCCCAGGGCCAAGGTTGGTTTAAGGTTACGACGTTCGTCCATTCCAGATAATTTTTTTATATCTGATCACAGTTTACATTGATTTTAGAAGCCCGTCCACCATCATATCCAACTCGTCAACAACAGCCATCATCCGGTGCCCCAAGCCGGAGTGACCGACAACCGACTGCTACTCGCCCGCCATTAAGGTAATGTCTGTCGTCGTTGTTATTAACGCTCAGATGCCTAGGTCATCCCCTCGAAAACGTGCAGCCATCCCGGAACCGTTGCCGCGCGCCGCGTTCGAAGCCTCGATGCGTGGAAAGATGGAAACGTGAGGCACCTTGTGCGTTGTATTTACCACTTTTCTAGGCTCTTCTCCCCACTTCCGGTGATTGCTGGCACTTCTGCGGACCAACCCGAGAAAGCTGTCAACCAACGGTAATTTTTAGAAGCGCTTTGACTTTCATGTGCGCTACTTGGACCAGTTAATATTTTTTTAGGTGCCAAGACATCACCCGGATGCTGGCGGAGATGACGCGGCACGAGGGGAACATGTTTGTTCAAATTCGAAAATTTTTGAGTATATTTTAGGCTGTCGCCGATCGCCCCAGTGAGGACGGCATCTTCGAGGTCTTCCTCTTCTACAGGGCGACAACCTGAGGATCAGGCATCGACAGAAGAAACGAAGCAGGAAGCGCGTGATTCGAACGGCCCTTCTCGTGCCGACGAGAAGCGCAAGGAGTGGTCAGTTTTTTTAACGATCCAGCATTACTGTTAGATATCTTGGATCTTTTCGCTTATCGGGGGGGGTGAATGTTTTGTCATGGGCCTGAAAAAATATATTCTCTTTCATAAATTCTGTGTCAATGTGAAGTATCAAAAGTTTCATAGTCGTTTTCACCTGCTGAGTATTCAGAGCTTCCCCTTATTAGCGCGTCATCCAGGCTAGCACTTATCAATTGATATGCTGGGCTCTTTCAAAACGCAATGCAGTGATTGTCATCTGCCGCTTTTGGGGCTAAACTCTAGTTTCCCCTCTACCTCAATTAGTTTGATTTTGCCACCGCAATTAGTTTTTTTCTTGGACTGTTTTTTTCCGCTCTGAATATTATGCCATAAGGAGGCCTCACTTGTCACCCCTCATCACTACTATATTATATCGTTTTAAAAACTCAAAGTGTAACATTTTTTCGATAGTATTCTTAATCGACCTTCATTTAGCATGGCATCGGCTACGGCTGCCGTTGCGGCCTCGACATCGACCACTACCATCACGATGCGCTATTTCGACGAGGAGATCCAGCTGGACTATGCGGTCGATTCCGAAGTAGACGAAGACCACGAGGCGGAAGAGCCGCTCAGCCCCGCCTCGAGCCCGGACACGCTGCGCAAGCAACTGGAACCCGCTGCCGCACAGGTGATTTGTGATTTTATTGCCACCAGATATATAGAAACGTTTCCGCGGAAACTATTCAGCTTCTATTTGGTCGTTATACGGGAACGATTTTTTCCCATTTCTTAGTATCGAATTTTTTAAGTTCCCAGCGTGAGCACAACCATTTGAATAGTGTTTTTTTTGGTGAAATTTAGCTATATTTAGAGCCGCAAAGATAAGTATGAAAACTGTTTTATCTTGGGCTTAGTAACCTCGGTCAAAAATATCGGTATTTTCGGTGCCTTGGTTTGTTAAGCGTTGTGAGAGCTGTCTACAAACATTCGCTTTATTTCTATTATAGAACATATTTTTTTCCAGGCCAGTCTGGAGGACGGTGAGGTGCCCGAAGACGACACCGAAAATGTCCCCGCTCGCACCCTGAAGCCTGAACCGTCACCTGCTACTAGCAATGTCCCAGGTGAGCACGAGGTTTCTATAAACGGCTACGCAAAATTACCGTAAGCCCGTTTCCAATTTTACGAATCTCGAATTTTCCATAGTTTCTAAAGATTCCATCGTTCATATCTCAGAGTCTCTTAAAAAGCCTATGGAAATTCCGAGATTATTAAAATTCCAACTTCCGTTTTTCGAGGCTCCGGTTAGGCAGCAATATTACCGTCACATTTGCTAGCCATTTTAGAAGATCCACGCCCGCCGCGCGCACAGGTCCCCCTCGGCAGCCGGATCGGTATATTGGAATTCTTGGGCGATGATATCTATTTTTAGATCGAAAAGACGTGACGCGGCCGGCCGTTACGCCTGCGCGCAGAAGCCGTAGCCGCAGCCGAAGTCGCAGCTACAAGCACCCGAAGGCGCAGTCACCACAGAAGAGTGGGTTATATATTTAATTGATTTTTTTGGTACTGTTGTCTTTTTTTATAGTAGTTTCCCTTAAGTTTTTTTTTGCTTGAATTAAGTAAGAATCAAAAATAATATTTTTGAAACAATATCGAATGGCAGCAAAAGGAATTAAGTAGATAAGAGTAGGGGCACCGTCGCTCCATAATCCCATCCCCCCTCGCTAAATAGAACAGTACCGATGTGTTTTTTTATCGACGACATTTCCGGCTTCCCAAGAGAGCTCCAACTTCACTGTGATTTTTCAGAGCCCGAACGACCGATGGAGAGTCGGCGGCCCGCGCGGCGTTCACCGCCACGCCGCACCTTCGATCATCGCCCGCCGCGTGATCGACGTGGTGATGACGGCGGCAGAGAACGTTTCGATCCGCGTCGGCGACGTCTCGACTAAAGTAAGCCTCAATTACCCGCCCCAAGTTTGTACTTCCGCCATTCCCATATCTGTTTGTCTGTATTGTAAAATTACTGGAAATTACTACGCTATACATTACCCTCCGTAACATGCTGTCGTTCTCGTGTACCCCGTACTTTCACCAAAAAATAGAATTCGGCTTCTGCCAATAGTGACCGATTAATCGAATTTGCCCTCTCTATCCCCCACATCTTTTTATAACGACCGGGCTTTGTTTGTTGTTCCAATTGATTGACGTGCTGTGCTCATCATTAATAAAGTTTTATCGCTTTTACGTCGGTTCAGGGCTGTAAAGGATACCTAGATCGTCGCGTTGGTATAATTAAATTCGTAAGGACAACTTAAATTCGTTAGCAGACTTTAGGTGAACTGGTAAATTAGCGTTTAGCCATTGCATCCATTATTTGGCATTCGCCGGCCGGGCCGCCAATTTGGCACACACATTTCGACAAACATTTCTGCTATGGCGCTGAACGTGGGTGGGCTGCTGGCGCTGCTCGCCGCTTTTCCATTGGCCACCGGCTTAGCCGTGGCGAGAAACGTGGTTCTGACGCGTGAGTCGTTCGCCCACGTTTTAGATCTCCGTCTCTCTCTATCTATCTCTGGCTCTCTCTCTCTGGCTCTCTCTCTCTCTCTCAACTGGGTCGTTCTTCTACCGGAAGCAGATCTCGTGAGGTTTTTAGACGAGGACCAGAGGGCGTTGCTGATCAGTGACGAGAACTTTTACGTTCCGGTCGGCCACTCTGCCGTCGTCCCATGCCCGATCCGGGAAAAATTCCCGACTGTGCTTTCGAACGCGGAGGCTAAACTGTATTGGTACCTCGCGTTCCCTGGAGACATGTCGGCCAAGTGGATCGACGGGTAGGTAATAAGGTAATAAGGTAAAAAATCAGCCAATTTTTGAAAAGTATTTGGTGATTTTAGAATCCAAAAATTCGTTTCTTCGATTGAAATTGAAATGGCACGGGGAATTCGTCGTTTTTTTTGCGCAGGAATATTTAAAACACTGCAAAACATTCTTGGAATTTAGATCAAAGGATCTAGGATTGCCCCGTCAAAAGTGCTTCTCCCGCTAAGCCTACAGGACCGAAATTCGCGTTGCAGCGGTTCTACTTACACGCGCTTCGTGCAGAACACGACGACCGGCTCGCTGGCGATGCGGAATCTGCAGCCGGTTCATGACGGTCTCAGGGCGGAATGTTGGGTGCACGTGAGCAAAGATGTACGGGTTATTTTGCGTTATCGAGTCGGCAGGAATTTTTCCCAACAGACTTGGCACGTAACGTAAAAGTACGCATTATCATAGCGTTTTTAGTATAAATTAAGACTACGCTTTGGACTCCCCCGCGATGCAAAAAAAACGCGTACGGGAACGGTTTTTGTTTTGAATTTTGTGCAAATACCAGGTTATGCTGTTCGGTCTAGGACAAGAGGGACGACCGGTACCTCGTCGCCCGCTACACTATCGTGGTGCAGAACTGCGGGGAACGCGACGACCTCTTCCGCAACTATCTGAACCCGTTGGTGACGTTGCCTTTTTTTTTCGATTGTAAGAAATGAGCCCTGGGTTTTTTCTAAGGGTGGTGATTTTTTTCCCGCCCCCCCCCCCCCCCCCCCCCCCTTTTTTACCCCCGATAAACTAGAGGTAGCTAAAGGAAAAATTCGCGCGGCAAGGCGACATTAGGTGCCTTTATACCACTGTTGTTTACACGAGGTGGGGAGGCTAACCCCCCCCCCCGATATTGCGAAAGCACCGAATTTCTTTCAGGTGTGCCTACGGAAAGTGTGAAGTGGTAAAACCGTGGGAGGGCATCAACGCCACGCAACTCGTGTGCCGATGCCTACCCTACTATACGGGGCGCTTTTGTAATGGTAGGTTGTTGATTTTTTAAACGCTTGTAAACTGATTTTTTAAGCATTTTCAAGCCTATTTAATATTTTTATACAACTTTCTAAATGGCTTTTACACTTTCGATACAAACACGTTCTACTAGAAATTAAAACGAAACATACAAAAGAAATCAATAAGTACAACAAATTGCAGTGATGGTCGGTCGTCCGTGGACGGGGCTGCTGATCAGCTACGCGTACAACGTCGTCTGGGTGCTGCTCTTTGTCGGCTTTCTGCTCTACCACAACATCCCGTCAGTGACTTTGCGCCGGGCTCTTCGTCCCGACTTTCTATTCGGTTCTTCTGCAGTATCCAGGGGGGGGGGGTAATTAAAAATACCCAAAAATTGAAATCCCCCTCCCCCAACAATGCGAAAGCACCAACAATTGCAATCGAAAGCTGTTTAGGAAGAAGCGCGTGGCGCTGGAGACGCTGATGCGTAAGCCGGGCGTCGACGTCGACAAGGTGTTGCAAGCCGACCCGGAACGGAAGAACCCTCACACCCCGCCGCAAACCCCCTGAAAACGTTGCGCAACCAATGCCACCATAAATTTCGTTTTGTGATTGATTTTCCGGTTGTGATAAAGACTCACCTGATGCGAAGAAAAATAATTTGACGATTTATGTAAGCATATTTGGTAACAATTACCCCCAGGAAAGAGTTTGACCCCGGACAGCGATCTCTTGAAAGAATTCCGCTTCCGTTTGCCTTACCGGTCCTTTCAAGATTTCATTAGATCTATACCGTAACCCGATCCGAAAATGCCGGCTAGGCTCCGTGATTCCGAGACATTACTAGCGCCAACCAAAATGTGTGCGCATGACGTCTCCGGCCGCCCGGGGAAGATTTGTAAAAGCGAGCACATTCTCCGAAAAGAGTTGCAATTCTAACAACAATTCTACAGAATCAGTTACAAATTACCTATAACGCTGAAATTTAGATTGGGTGATGCGACAACCTATCCTGATCGCCCTTTGCATGGCGGCGCTCGTCACGGCGGCCAAGAGACGAACAGCCCCGACAAAAGATGAACCGATAATTGTGGTAGGCAGCTTGCAGAATTTTTGTACTTTTAAATAGGTTGGCGCGGGATTGGCGGGTCTATCGGCAACCCTTGAAGCGCTCCGAGATGGCCAGAAAGTCGTCCTCGTCGAAGGAGAAAAGAACGGTTCGTCGCAACGAAATTACGAATTTATCAAGTGTCTGTATCGTAAAAGGGTCTGGGTGCTAATGCAGTTAGGGGCATCCGAAATTGGTAGTAAGGGGTTGAGACTCCCGTCAAGCTACTTGGTTTTCTGCTTGCCTAGGCTTAACTTAGCTTTAACTAAGCTTAGCTTAGGCTTAGGCTTAGCTTACCCAAGCTGCTTAAATTGAGCTTTAAATTGCCTTAGGTGGTCAAAATGGGTCATTTAGGACTAGTTAGAGCAGTTTAGCTTGGCCAAGCTGCTTAGACTTCGTTTGAGGAAGCTAGCCCAGGCTTAGGCTTGGTTAGCTTTTCCAGAGGTTTCGAGTTTAAAAACGGGTCGGAGCGTCTTGTAGTCAAAATCGGACTCCCCCCCAAGTGCATTAGCACCGCTGTCCTGCTGTTTAGTTGGCGGCAACTCGGCGAAGGCTTCGAGTGGCATCAGCGCATGCGGAACCGATGCACAAGAGAAAGCCGGCATAGAAGATTCGACGACCCTGTTCCAGACGGACACTCTCAATGCCGGAGACCACGAAAACGACGAGAGTCTTGTGCGAGTGCGTTGTTATTTGACCTCGATTCATCCTAACCGTCTTTTCAGTTGCTCGTCGAGCATTCCGAAGACGCCGTGCGATTCTTGACCGAGGCCGGCGTCGACCTATCTGACGTGAATCTATGTGGCGGCCACTCGGTACCCCGCACCCACTGGATTCCCTCACCGAAAGAAGGTCGCCCAACGCCGGTCGGTCTCGGAATCATCAAGGTATCACACTTTACGAAAAACATAATTTTTCTCCAGGCCCTCTATGCGAAAATACAACAGTACTCTGAAGAGAATCCAGGAAAATACACGGAATATCTTGAAACGAAGGTAGGAAAAATAGCAATCTTGGAAAAATTTTGTTTTAGGTCCTGGGGCTGTCTTCATGGAACGAGTACATGGTTGGCGTGCGGGTCCGCTTGAATAACGGTACCATCAACGAGGTTTGGCTTCAGAGAGTTTCAAAAAGCTTTTTAGATCGACGGCAAAGGCATAATTCTGGCGACCGGCGGGTTCACAGCGGACAAGGATTCGGAGGCTTCGCTGCTGCTCGAGTTCGCTAGTGATAAGGTTGGTGTTTATTAGAAGTGACCGCATAATCCATTGTTTCCAAACCCTAAAACTTTTCTTTGCCTAACAAAAAGGCACAGAAAAAGTGTTTATCGACCAAAAAGGACCGTTTTCGACCAAAATTAGCGTTTTTCGTATTTTTGGTTTTCGGTTCAGGCGCATCTACCCACGACCAACGGCGCATTTGCACGCGGAGATGGCGTCAAGATGGCGCGGGCCATGGGCGCGCAGGTGATCGGGATGAACAAAGTGCAGGTTTGAGGAATTTGCTAGGTTTTGGACACCTTATTTAGGTCCATCCGACGGCTTTCATCGACCCAAAGACCCCCGGGGACAACACAAAATTCCTGGCGGCTGAAGCGTTGAGAGGAAAAGGAGCCCTGCTCCTCAACGGCAAAGGAAAGCGGTATGGATTTTCAAATAAAATGTTGCATTTGCTTTTATGTAGAATCGGCAATGAACTGGGCAGACGCGACTACCTGACCGGCCGGATCAACAAGGAATGCGAGAAACTGGAGAGTTTTCAGGTAATCTTGATGATCTGGAAAAATGTGGTATTTTTTAGGGTGGCTCCGGCCCGCACGTTGCCGCTATAATGTTGATGACCGACGAGATGGCGGACGCGTTCGGGCGCCCGGCGTTCGGCTTCTACGCGAATGTCAAGAAATTCTTTACCAAGTACGACGATGTCAAGGCGTTTGCTGCGGCCCTGGGAGCTCCCTACACGGAGGTGACATTTGGAAGATTTCTCTCAACGTTCGTTTATAGGTCGAGAAAACGATCAGAGAATACAATGCCATCGTTGAGGCAGAGGGCAAAAAGAAGAAGGATCTTTTTGGTTTGTAGTTTCTAATTTCGAATAACTGCTTTTCAGGAAAAACGGTGTTCCCGTTTGCTGTGGCGTTGGACAAGCCAGTGTACGCGGCGCTCGTCACCCCGGCCCTCCACTACACGATGGGCGGATTGAGAATCGACCGGAATGCTTTCGTAAATGCTTCTCCTAAATTCTAAATAGATTTTCCCCAGGTTTTCAACGAGTTCATGGACCGCTCTTTCAAGGGGCTCTTGGCCGCTGGAGAGGTGATTTTTTGCGTTGCAAAGTTTTAAATCTTTCGACCTTTTGGTATTTCTGGGGAGGGGCGTTCGAAATTTTGCTAAATAGGGTTATTCATAAAACTTTCCCGGATTGTATAAAGTTTCTAGATTTTGCTCGAAGATCGTGAATTTTTAGCCCAAAATCGGTATTAAATCGTAAAAAACGGTTTAGTAACATCTCCTCTATTTAGCTTAGTAAAACTGAACCCTAAATTCGTTCAAATATGACAAATACAGCAACCAAAATCTTTTATAGGTGACCGGCGGAGTGCACGGGTCGAATCGTCTGGCCGGAAATTCCCTGCTGGAATGCGTCGTCTTCGGCCGGGTAGCCGGACGTTCGGCGTCGTTGATCGATTACACCGGAGAAGACGGAATCATGCACGCCGAGCTCTGATCGCCATTTACCGCATTTTTCATGTGTTTCTGTTTTTAATTTTTTCTGGTACGCCCTTCACTTGTAATCGCTGTGATTAGCTGACTCAAAGTTTCCTACGTGTCATAATATATTGCCGCCTTATAATGCTGAAATATCACCTTTCTCAATTGTTGTACCGAGATTCGTGGCTTCTTTGGATCGCAGTTGTTCTCCATTTATTTCTTGGGATAATTAATGGGTTTAAAAATAAATGATACAGGTCTTTTCCAGGCATGGGCACCAAGCTGTCGGTCTCGTTAGAAGGGGCCCTGTCACCGGAAACGGCCCCGCGAACCGATCGGCCGCCAACCTTCGACCCGCAAGCGGGTTTCGAGCGCCCGCGAAAGGTTATTTCTATATGGCTATTTTTCTAACTTTTCTCTTCCAGGAACGTGTGATGAAGGCCACTTGGGAAGAGATGGAGCAGTTCCGGTTGAAGCCCGGGCAACGGGACTATTGTGCTCATCACTTGATCGACCTCATGAAGTGTCAGGTAAATTTTTTGCAGTACTAGGCTGTTAGCGGGGGGGGGGATTTTTAACCGAGAATCCAAATTTTTCGAAAAAATAAAGCATTTGGCACGGTTTTAAGTATAAACAGCTCATAAAAATTTCATCGAATTTTCGAAAATGCTTGACTCTTTGCTCTGAAATCTGAAAATTCAATACATGAAAAATTTACCCAATAAGGTGAAAACCTTCGAATTTTAACATTTTTTTATATGTTACTTTCTTGGTTTTCAGTTGGATATGACGAACATTTAATATTTTTCAGACGAAAAATGCGCCATTTGCCGGCCACGCTTGTGACGACCAACGTGGTGCCTGGGACAAGTGCGAATACGACGATCATTTGATGCGAATCAAGGAGTACGAGCGGGAACGGTGAGAGCGATCGATATTTTCTGAAATTTTGCTTTAGGCGTCTTCTTCACCGGCAGCAGCGCAAGGAACTCGCCTAGGCGAAGAGCTCGCTTTTCAAAACATTTTATAGCGAACATAGATATATTATGTGCTTTCATTGATTTCTCTAGTGATTTTTGTGTGTCTTATTATTGTAGCCGATCGATTGTGTCTTCTATGTACAGAAATAAACGAATGATTTGTTTACGTAACGAGGGGAAGTCAGGAATTACATTTTTTTATTCCGATTTTGAGTAGTTTTTGATCGTTAGCATAAAATATATGAAACCTTTTTGAAAACCGCTAACAATACATCGAAAATTTTGAAAATTTTGGTAATTTTTCGTACATTTCCGACAACAAGATAGAAATTTTCGGATATTCTTACGATGTTTGATGAGCTTTTTATATCCAAAAATTTGAGCAGAGGTGGAGAGAGAGCTACGACCGATCTACATGTATTGAGCCCGTGGTAGCCTTCTAGCCGGCCCTGCGAAACGGGACCAGCTGCCGTCGGGCTGGCCAGCTTATGCCTGCTTTCAATTAGCATAAACAATGGAGAGGGAACCATTGAATGCACGCCATTCCGAGGGGAACCCAACCTAACTTTTTTGTATATGTCTACAAACGCTTAATAAGTTAATATAAAGTGTTTTTAGTAATAAACTATATTTCAATCAGAAAAAAATCTAAAAACTTTGAACTTTTTACAAAAAAGTCGAAATTTTGGTCGCAAAATCGATTTTTTTTGCTGTTTTTTTATAAAAATATGCAAAGTTTTGACGTTTAGGCATAAATTAGAGCTGAAG